ACAGATCTTTTCGCCCCTGCTAAATAAAAACTTTATCTCCAAAGGACAGTTTATGCAACTTAAACGTCTTTGCGTCTATAACCAGACGTTTGAATTAACTGCTGAGGATATGTTCGCTAACCTTACAACTAGACAGTGCCCACCCAATCTTATCTTTAAAGCCAAACATGATGTCTCCTCAATCCCCACGCAACGATACTCTAAAGTTGAGCAAAAATACCAAAAAAAAAACGGCGTCATTCTTCTAATCCCAATACACCTTGCTCTAAACAACCGAATTCACCGAATAATTTGTCATAGCTTTGATAAATTAATCCATGAGCAAAGTCTATTACCCATTTTGTTGTTTAGTGCGTACTGGAACGACGTTGACATTTTAACAATAAAGTTAGAAATAAAAACTTTTTGTTTCAGCTAATGTTTCGCTATTGGGGTTTCATCAAGTACAGTTCTTGAACCATTAGCAATGTCAGCACAACGATTTCAAACGTGCTAAAGTTGTATCTTTGTTGCGTTCTCTTTGTAGATACAATTACATTCTATTCTTTTTTAATAAAACAGGTTTTATCTTACTTGGTTCTGATTGAAGAAATTATTACTATCCAGTGTACTATGTTTGAAGGAAGCAATGTTGTATATTGGTTGTGTTATGGTTGAAGGAGCTATTACTGTCCAGTGTACTATGTTTGAAGGAAGCAATGTTGTATATTGGTTGTGTTATGGTTGAAGAAACTATTACTGTCCAGTGTACTATGTTTGAAGGAAGCAATGTTGTATATTGGTTGAAGAAAATATTACTATCTTGTGTACTATGATAACACAACCAATATACAACATTGCTTCCTTCAAAAGTAATATTTTCTTCAACCCTCTTGTGTACTATGTTTGAAGGAAGCAATGTTTTATATTTGTTGTGTTATGGTTGAAGAAACTATTACTGTCTAGTGTACTATGTTTGAAGGAAGCAATGTTGGATATTGGTTGTGTTATGGTTGAAGAAACTATTACTGTCTAGTGTACTATGTTTGAAGGAAGCAATGTTGTATATTGGTTGTGTTATGGTTGAAGAAACTATTACTGTCTAGTGTACTATGTTTGAAGGAAGCAATGCTGTATATTGGTTGTGTTATGGTTGAAGGAACTATTACTGTCTACATTTTTTGAAGAAAGCAAGGATAAAAAAGCATAACTTTATACAAATTTCAAAGGCATTTTGTTATGTTTTGATTTGAAATTCCATAACTGTCTAGAGCCTTTATAATTAAGCTATGGTTAAACTGGAAACCTTCAAATGCCTATTATATGTAGAGACATCAGTCAGTAAATGCTACGTTTATCTGCGCAGCTTCAAGAAACTTAGGCTTGGTACGTGACCATATTCTCTAGTTTTGGTTCATTCTTTTACTGCCCCATTTTGTCTTTTGTATATTCAAAAGCGTTTCAGAGTACCTATGCAAGAAATCAAACATTATTTAACGATAACCTATTTTGAAACAATTTAAATTGTGTCAAATAAAGAACGTTCAATAAGGATAAGTTTTGCTAACCCTAAATACTAGACTAACTTTTACTAGGATCATATACTTTAAGGCACAATTAAATGTTTTTACTGGTATGATAAATATTCAAGCAGAGATCACATGGACTTTTTTTTTATTCACCAAGGGGATTTTACTGTGTATGAGCATAGGCTTTTATAAAGAGATCATGTAGATTTATATTTTTTCTGGCCTGGTGGTTAGGGCGCTCGACTCGCAATCTGTGGGTCGCGGATTCGAATCCCATCATCGAACATGCTCACTCTTCCGCCGTGAGGGTGTTATAACGTGACGTTTAATTCAACTGTTCGATTCGAGAAGTCCAAGTGGGTTATGTTGACTAGTTTATCACTTCTAAATTAGAGGCAGATAGCCCCCGAGATGCTTTGCGCGAAATTCAAACAAACAAAGGAAATATTTTTTCTATTCTTCGAGGGAACTTTTAGTGGGTATGAACATAAGTTTTTATGTATAACATTTTCCCTAATTGTTTTACATGATTTTTTTTTCATTCCAGAAGCCCCCAGTGGCACAGCGGTATGTCTGCGGACTTACAACGCTAGAATCCGGGTTTCGATACCCGTGGTGGGCAGAGCACAGATAGCCCATTGTGTAGCTTTGTGCTTAATTACAAACAAACAATCATTCCAGAAAAGACACTGTCAGTGAAATCATAATATGTAATTGTTACTTATGTGCAAATACTGAACCTTACGGGAATCTTTTATTCCATGTAACATTGCAACAAACGAGAAACAAATTTCAGAGAAGGTTGATTTCTGTTTACCACACATATACACCTGGAAAAAAGTTAAGCACCCCCAAATATTTTCAAGTGATTCAGATTCGACGTTCTTGTGACTGATTATAAATTACCATTCAATCTAAACGTGTTTATCAAATGAAATTATGCATTATTGGGCACAAGAAAACAAGAATTCCACCGTAAAATAACAATTTTTAATTT